CGAGAGCTGTGTTGTGGGGTTTTGCCCACTATGTCCAGTCATTCCCACGCCATCTGTTGAGGAGACTGTCCTTCGTCCATCGAGCGGCAGCGTCCATCAACTTCCGGCCTTTCTCATACCTTCCACCGTAGCCTAACGTACAATACCCTGAATTATGGAAAAGTGTATCTCCCAGAACTTTGCCTGATCTTTCTTTCTCTGATTTGCCTTCCCTCTTTTTCAACGACACGTAATTGCTGAGAGCAACACTGTGCCGCTCACGGGAACCATTCCTGCCCTGGTGGTGCTGGCATCCAGCGGCCGAGGTCGGTGACAAACCGCAGAACCAATGACCCGGAGCACTTGTGCGTGGGCAGGCACCTGGCGGGGGGGCGGCCGAGGATGGGCTGTCGGGCAGGCTGTCTGAGGAGGCGACCCCACGGCTGAGACCGGGAGAAGCCGAGAGTAAGCCAGGTGGGGGCCCATGGCCCGGAGTCTAGGCTTAGGGTTAAAACAGGAAAGGGTGATGTGATCCGATTTCTGTCCTGACAAGCCTCCCCACCTTTTTATCCAAGTTAATGAGCCAGAGCACAAATGGGCAGAACCTGCTGGATCTCCCTGAGCCAGCCGGGCTGGGGCCGCCGCGACCCCCAAGGTTTCTCAGCTGTTCTCCCGCGCCGAGCCCCTCCCTGCCTGTCTCCAGGTTAATAACCACTGGCTGGAGCAGGACACAAAGCCGGTCAGCCCAGGCCGTAGGAGGGCCGCTCTTCTGTTGTGAAGGGCCTCTGGGGGAAGATACTGTGAGGTTACGCATCTCATGTCATTAGAAAGCATGGCCATAAATTAGGCTGCTCAGAAGCATGGGGCGTGTAATAATTAAGCAATAAAAGTCACCACAGGGGTAAAGGAACCAGAAAACAAAGAGCCACTGTTTGTAGCCGCCCGGCAGGCTGCTCTGTAAAGTGGCATTTCAGAGCCCCTGAGGCTCTGCTCAAGGAGAGTCCCTGCTCAGCCCAGTCCCACGGAAGTCTGCATACTGGGGAGTCAGGCTACACCAGGAGAATGAATGGGGTGCAGGGTGCAGGTAAAGGGGCAACAGGGAAGGGAGAGGCGTGGGGCAAAGTGACAGGTGACACTTGGCTCCAGCCAGTAGTTGCTACATATAGACCACACGGCCAGAAGCTGCACATTTTCAAGACAGTCTGGAAAGTTGGTTTTTAATGTAAAATTTCCCAGCTTTTAACTGTTGATGACAATCTCAAAGTCTGTTAAGACTGCTGTGCAGGCCAAATCAAACACAAAGCCAGAGGGGCGCCTGGGTGGCTCAGGCAGTTAAGCATCTGACTCTTGGTTTTGGCTCAGGTCCTGATCTCAGGGTTATGAGATCGAGCCCACTGTTGGGTTCTGCACTGGATGTGGAGCCTACTTAAAATTCTCTCTCTGGGACACCTGGGTGGCTCAGTTGCTTAAGCATCTGCCTTCGGCTCAGGTCATGATCCCAGGGTCCTGGGATCGAGTCCCGCATTGGGCTCCTTGCTCAGCAGGGAGCCTGCTTCTCCCTCTGTCCCTCCCCGTTTGTGCTCTCACTCTCTCTGACAAATAAATAAAATCTTAAAAAAAATAAAATAAATAAAAATTGAAAAAATATTCTCTCTCTCCCTCTCCCTCTGCCCCTCCCCCTCTAAAAAAAACCCAAAAACACACAAAGCTAGAGAGGATCGAGGTTTGCCTCAGGATGGGGGGGGGGCATGTCTCTTCTTAATACTTCCATTTCTGCATTCCCCAGTCGTGAGATAAGGTCACTGGGAAGAATGGAACCTTCCCTGGGGTGCTTCCATTTCCAGAAATGCAATGAGAAAAGCCGTGGATCCTCCCCCTGAGACACCTGCTCAGAAGGTACAGTTCACAACTCTTGGGACTTCGGGGGCTAAGACCTCTGGGGCTAGGTCTTAAGCCCCAAGTGTGGGTCCTGGGCCACAACACCTGTGACCACTCCAGACCCACTGAACAAGAATGTGCCTGTAACGAGATTCCCCGGTGACCCATGCGCACACGCCGGGTTGCAAAACGCTGTTCTGTGATTCCTTCAGCTGTGAGACTCTGATTTCTAGTCTCGGGACCTACTCTAGACGTCATCCAGAGGGCGGTTTCTACTGGTGTTTCCCCGAGGTGGGCTGAGGAACCCCTGTGTGTTAGCTCCCGGGCTCCCCATCACAAATTACCACGCACTTGTTGGCTTAAAGCAACAGACGCATATTCTCTCACGGTTCTGGAGGCCAGAAGTTTGCGAGGTGTCAGTAGGGTCACGCTCCCGCTGGAGGCTTTAGCGGAGAAACCCGCCCCACCTCTTCCAGCCTCCGGCAGCCCCAGGTATCCTTGGCTTGTGGCCCCATCACTGCGCTGTCACCTTTGCACCTCCTTCTCTTCCCCTGTGTCTCTCTTTGCTGTCTGTCCTTGTATGAGGACACTTGTCTTTGGACAAGTGCAAAAAGCATTTGCATAGTTATTAATCCCATCTCAAGATCCTTAACCGGACTACCTCTGCAAAAGCCCTTTTTCCAAATAAAGTCATAGCCACAGGTTCTAGAGATGAGGGTGGAAACATCACTTGGAGGGCTACCCTTCACCCCACACACCCTGTCTCAGAACTATATTTGCTGAAAATGTGATTTCTTGGGCCCCCCTCCCACTTCCTAACTCAGAACCTCTGGGGTTCTTATGCACCAAAAAAATCTGAGACTCTCTGGCCCAGGGAAATGAGGAAATAATCAGCTCCGACGTGAGAGGCAGAAAAGCTGGCTAGGATTGCTCACCACCAAAAGGAAGGTCAGAAAGACATGCCGGGGGGAAGCAATGAGCCTGATTCATAGTTTCTTCTTCTTTTTCTGTTTTCGCTTAGGACGAGGAATTTTAAACACGCACGGAAGTATAGCAGACACTATAATACATGCCCGTGATCAGCCCCATCACACAGCTTCAACCACTACCAATATACCCTGCCGTCCATTCTCACTTTACTGTATTTTATTATTTGAGGGAGTTCCTTTTTAAAGCAAATTGTAAGCAACCAATCATTCCACCCACAAGCCCTTCTATATGCATCTCCAACAGAAACACTTAACTTCCAAACCTCAGCTAGTGTTCACCTGGCCCTGGTTGCCCCAAAACATACCTTCCCACTGATGGTTTGCTTGACTCGGGATCCAAACGAGGTCCGCACACTGCACCTGGTGGGTGCATTTCTTAGGTCACTGTAATCTACCCCACTTCTTCCTCCTCCCTTCCCACGGTCCTTTGTTTGCTGATGTGCTCGAGTTGCTTGTCCTGCAGAACATCCCACACTCGGGACTCGGGACTTGGCACTCGGCATCCTCACGGGGGTGTGTAGCATGCTCCCCATGTCCTGCGCTTCCTGCGAGGCGTAGCAGGCAGGCTGACAGCTGTCTATCTGCTGCGGTGGCACCGGCCACAGGTGGTTACTGAGCCCTTGCAACGCGGCTGGTGCCACTGAGGAGCTGAATCTACCTTCATATTTAATTTTGACTAATTGAAATTCAAATTTCTTTTTTTTTAAAGATTTTATTTATTTGTCAGAGAGTGTGCACAAGCAGGGGGAGCAGCAGGCCAAGGGAGAAGCAGGCTCCCCCCCGAGCAGGGAGCCCGATGCGGGGCTCGATCCCAGGACCCTGGGATCATGACCTGAGCCGAAAGCAGACGCTTAACGACTGAGCCACCCAGGGGTCCCAAATTCAAATTTCTAAACTGAATCTTTCGAACACCCCATGAATATTTTAAAAGGATTATATGTTGGTGTGTTAATATTTTGGCTAGATTAGGTCAATAAAGTACGTTAGTAATGAGAGGGATAATATATATTAGTAAAACTAATTCTGCCTGCTCCTTTTTCACGTTGCTCCTGGAAAAGTCCTTGTTTACAAGGTGACTCGCGTTGTATTTCGATTGGACGGTGCTTGTCTAGAAGTCTGATGACCGTCAGGGTACTTTGGTTTCTTTTCCCAAAGAATTTTGGGTGGATGGTACTGCATACCTCCCACTGTGTATCACAAATGTCTGCTTGTCACTCTCAGAAATGGTAAGATTGATCGTGTGGGTAAATTGTGTGTTGTGTATATGTTTTCCCACAATAAAGAAATGGGTCATTTGGTTCAGCTGCTGCAGCCTGCCCCACGCATTGTAGAGTCTCCACCGAATGGCCTTAGCAGCCACTGATGATTATCATTACCTCCACCTGTTCTTTGGCTGGGAGCGGCACCCCGGTGATTCCCCTCCCCTTGGCTCCATCATTTCCTCCTGCAATCATTAGCTCTGGTTCTTCCGTGAAGAACTTGCCCTTGTCACCTGTTACCTATTCGGCTACTCTGGGCAGGTCTCACTCGCCGCCCCCCAACGCTCTGGGACAGGGATAGGGACGGTACCCGCCTGACAGCGATGCGAAGGGGTGGGGTGTACAAAATGCGCGGCACAGGGTAAGTGCTCTCCCAGGCCGGAGACCCTTGTCAAGGAGAGCCAGAGTCAGAAACGAGAGGTGGCAATGATTTCACGCAGTGCTACCGCACAAGGAGAAAGAGACTTAGCGCAGCACGGGGCCCTGTTATGAATACAGCACAGGTGGGGACTTACAGCCCGGGAGCAGGGGGTGGGGGTCAGGGAAGGACACAGAGAGGGCAGGGTGATGCTCACTGAACCGACCTGATGGGATTCTGGGTAAAGGCAGGCCAAGGTGATCAGATACTGATACTGACGGGGGGTGGGATGGGGGATCGACTTCACAGATTCTTTATGAAGACTGGCTTCAGCAGACCAAGGGCAAGGCCCAAGGCCCAAGGGCAAGGTCTAGTTGAAAAGAGGGCTCCAAGAAGCCCGTCTAAAGTCCGCACTTGGGGGGGTGTCTTTGTCACCATCTCCCAGCGCACAGTCCTGAGGGTCAGGTGGGCGTCCTCGGTGGAGAGAATGTGGCGGCCTTCCAACACCTCAAGCCTCTCTGCGCTTCCTCCCCGCAGGCCCTCCACCCCTTTCTTTGACCTGCTGCAGCACCGCTACCAGCAGCTTTGGGTGCAGGAACAGAAGGCCACCCAGAAAGCCATTAAACTGGAGAAAAAGCACAAGGTAAATGCATCCCCCACTCCAGAGTGGCCCCCATTTGGAATGGGAGTGGAGGGAGGAGCTGGCCTGGCAAAGCTGTGAGACTGACATTTGTGCACGTTTGTCACAAATGGGGAGGGGGGAGGCTGGGGGTGGCAACCAAGCTGCTAGGTGCTGTGCTAAAAGGGTCTTGGTGATGATCACACACAACCCCTACTCAAGCCTGAGAGTGGAAGATTCTCGCCCAGGCCCTGTGTACCTCTGACACAGGAGCAGAACCCGGTGTCCCAACTCCTACCCGGGGACTCCTTCTACCAAACCTCCACGACTCCGCCCAACCAGAAATATGATTTTCAACTGACCTGAACCAGCCGAGACAGAAATATGCCCTGTACTAAAGAAAAGGCTAATAAAGCAGGATGCCATAAAGGACACATTTTGTTATACTTTAGGAATACATTTTCTTTCAAATTGATGAATAGGCCACATGCTAAATCCATCCTGTACATCATACACATCGTTTCATTTATGTCTGACAAAAGCCCCGGAGGTGGGCATTATTCCTATTTCTTGGGCATTGAACCTGAGTCTCAGAGAGGTGGTGCCCACACAGGGAAATTGAAACTGAGACAGAACCATGTCTCCACGCTGCCAGTTGCTAACGGTGTGAGCTGCAGTCGATCCAGACTGATGTGCACCTAGTGCCACACAGATTTCACTAGAAGCACGATCTTCGCGTGTCTGGTTGGTGCAGCAATCCAGCCAGTGTTTTCCCTGTGCCTTGCTCCGGGCAGGGAGCTGGGCTGAGCGTGTACCCGTGTTCCCGCATGCTGTCTCCTGAGCACACCATGAGGCTGGGGTCTCATCAGGTCGTCTCGGTTATTTCGTTTTCACGTGGGCAAACGTAGGCTCGGAGGGATTAAGCGGCTGGCCAAAGGCGTCAGAGCCAGGCCCGGACTCGAGGGTGTGTGTGTAGCCCCAGAGTCTTGGCTCTTCTTGATGGCGAGGTCCCACCCCTGTTAATTATGAGAAAGCCTGGAGTTCAGCAACAGGGCAAAGATGTTCTAGAGCCAAACTGGGGAGCCGAAGAGTTTTGCCGAGGATCCTGGCGCCTTCAGGACAGGCCAGGAGCGTCACTGAGGGGCGGGGGGCCCCTCCCACTGTCCTTGGCTTCGGTAGAGAACGAGACACCAGCTCATTAAAAAACAGAGTGTTGTAATAACATTTTAAAAGCAGCCCGTGACTAGTTTATTCGTTAATGGCTCAAGAAAGAGTCGACTTACTATGGTAACGACCAGTTTCAGAGGGAGCACCGCCATTAGAAACCGTTTTATAGCTCCAGTTTGGTCGTGTTTTTTAATTAGCGGCAATATCACAGGGACTCAGAGTGTCGCAAATCCATGGAAAACTGAGCTCCCAGGGACACATCTTCTGACGTTAGAGACAACTGTGGCCAGTGCCACTCCCTGTTTGGCAGAGCACCCCACTAATGGGAGTGGCTCCACTCCAAGCACTGGTTGGGAACTGGGGCCCGCTCCCTGGGTGTGACTCTGAGGGAGCCGCCACTTAGTTGGGGCCTCAGTTCCCTCACTGAGGAAAGAAAGGGTCAGAAAGGGCCCGCCGTGCCGTGCCTAGAGCATAGTAGGCACTTGGAAAACACTTGTGGAAACAACCCCAGGGTTCTCTTCCTGTTCCAAGAGTCTCTGTGGCTGTACATTGTCTAACAAACTGGGAGGAACACCCAGACCCACAAACACTGGGGCTGGGGCCTGGGGTTGATAAGATGGCTGGTCTGCGAGGTCCAGTTGCCACCATCCGAGGGGAAGCCTGTCTCTCTGGCCGCAAAGGATGTCCTGGGGTTTTGATGGTGGTGCCCGCAAATGGAAATTCTCGGCAACAGCTTCCATGCAGTGAGTCCTCACCTTGGGCCCCTCCGCTCAATGCTGAATTCAGCAAATCCTACGGTAACCAACACTGTCTCAGGCATCGGCGGCCCATTTCCAGGGGGAGATCCATTTCCACTTAGGCAGGGGAAATGGGGTGCATGCACCCCTCCAATTCTGAAGGCAGGCTTGGCATCTCTCAGCTGGAGAGCATCTCTGGTTTGCAGATAGTTGCAAAACTGTTCTAGAAGGCAGAGAAGACGGCTGATCCAAAGGACCTACTGAAGGGGAGTGGGACATACAGGCTTCCAGTGATGGAATGCATAGGCCCCGGGGACGGAAGATTCTGCCAGGGAGTACGGTAAATGTGCTGTAATAGGGTCGTACGGTGACAGACGGCGTGCCGGATCGCTATGCTGTCCGCCCGGAACTAACCTAACATTGCGTGTCAGCTATATTTCCATGAAAAAGAAAGAAAGGAAAGAGAAAATACACAATAAAACATATGACTATCACAAATTTTAGAGAATCAGAGCACACGAATAGGGCCCGTCCAGGACCTTAGTAGGGGCCGTGTGCCACGAGGATCCCCAAAGCTCAAGCTGGCTCAGATCACGGGAAAGTTACCTCTGTATGAAGCAACCCTGTGCGTTCTAGGGGCCCAACCAGAAACAGATGAACATGCTTGCGACATGGGGGTTCCCATGCCGGAGGCCACTGGGCGGTGGCCAGAGGAGCGGGTGCCGTGACATCAGCCTTGGGGAAGGGCCAGAGGCAGGAGGAAGGTGACCCATGGGTCTGCAACACCGGGAAGCCCAAACCTCTGCCCTCACCTCTCTTCATCATAGCTCGGGCTCCTCCGCGAGCCAGGAGACCACCTCACCTCTGCATTTCTCTGGCCTGCAGGTGATCCTGGGGAAGCTGTATGAGACCCGGAGCAGTCAGCTGAGAAAGTACAAGCCACCAGTGAAGCTGGATGCCCTCTGGCATATGCCTCACTTCCAGAAGGTCGGTCTCGCCTCCAAATGCCCCTTCCCTCACCGAGGGAGGATGCCTCTCACTCTGCCTGTTCTCTACCTGTCCTCTAGACAGTGAAATGCTGTGGACTTCTAGCCACTGGTTGGCTGTTCAGAGGGGGAAACCAGGAGGTTTGGGGACAGCGGCTTCCAAGTGGGAGGGGAGCTGTGCCTGCCCAACTCGGGCCCAGCGAGCCTTTCTAGGGGGCCACAGGGACACGCCTGGCCCCAGGAAGACAGCTGGACAAAGCAATGTTCCTGGCCAGCCCAGCCCACCCGCAGTATTGAGTTAAACTGCAATTTGGACAATGAAGGGGCCAGTGCCTTCCTGAGCCTAATGCAATCGAACAAGCTGCCGAGCTTCGAGGAGAAGCCTGCTTGCCCCCCGATGCGGCCCCTTGCGACCTGCCCAAGTGGCCTCTGTCAGCATATGTCAGTGACCATTCGCCCGCTGCCCGTCAGCCCGTACCACCCTGCACACAAACGTGACTGGGCGCCGAGCAGGAGGTGCTGGGAGTCCCTGCCCCTGTCGCTTTGTAGCTCCTTCAGCCTGGCCGCGTGGCTCTGCTCTGGTTTCTCAGTCTCCCCCAATTTCCTGCCTTTTTAACCACGTTCCTCCCCCCACTCCTCTCTCCACAGCTTCCTTCCTGGCCCCTCCTTTGCTCTTTTTGCTCTGATTTTTCTCTCTGATTTTCCCTGGGATGTTGCCTGGGGAGGGACGGGGACCCAGAGCTCTGTATGAGATGCCCTCCACAACACTCAGTTCTGTGGTGTCACCCCCCACCCCCAGCCCCTTGGCTCTGATTTAGAATCTGCCCAGAGCTACTGAGGCAGGGGACAAAGGAGGGCTCAGGAGGTCTTGGGCCAGAGGAGCAAGGAAAGGGCCCTCACCCCAATCCCCACCCCGACTCGCCCCCAACAGGAGAGCATGTCTCCCACGCCGGTGTCCCCACTGTGCCTGGCCCAGAGTCGGATATGAACGAACCAGTTTCTATTTTCAAAAGAGGGGCTTTGACTCAGCTGTGCTGGGCTCTTCCATTCTAGATTGCTGTCACTGAAATACGGTCAGGAGCAACAGGAGGTAACCTGTAAATGCCACCCTTTGATTCAGTGCCAGGCACTGAGCTGAGTCATTTCCGTGTATTAGTGCACTTCATCTTCTGAGCGAGTATCCCCCCCACTGCTCCGTGGCACAGAGGGGAAGCAGAGTTTGAGCTGTCCTCCCCCAGTGAGTGGGGTGGTAGGGCTGGGAAGCCTGGTTCCTCTGACCGTTGGCCTGAAGTTCCAACACACTACCCCCTGTGCCACAGAAACAACGAGAAAGAATAAACATGCCGGCCCCAGGATTCACAGGGCACTTTTTGTCTTTTGGGGGATGTTCATGGGTTTCTGGAATTTCCTCTGCAGGACTCTCAGAGCAACGTTTGTCCCTGGGCGCCACCGTGGTCAGCCCAGCGGAGACCCTAACCCCCTAGAGTGATGCCTTCATGGATGCAACACTTGGTCTCCCCTTTTGGGAAATACTACCGACGGGAAGTGTTTATTAGCTGTCACTGTGCGCCAAGCCCTAGACATGCATTATTTCGTAGAAACGTTGTCCCCATTCAACAGATGTGGAGCCTGAGGCTCAGTGGGCTGAAGGATCATGCCCTGTAAGAAAGGGTCCCAGATTCCATCCAGGGCTGCGGAATCCAGGGCCTCCTGAGGATCCTTCCCTCACTTCTGGCTGTGCCCCAGCAGGTGCCTCTTCAGCCCAGCAGGGCCCCTTTCTCCCCCTCACAGTATGCATCCTCATTGCAATTAATTAGTTAATTGGGCAATTAGTTGTCCATCTTCCCCAGCAAAACGTGAGCCCCTAAGGACCATGCTCATTGTGACCCCCCACAGCGTCTGCAGAGCCCCGCACCCACTGAGTGGTCAGTGAAAGTCTGCAGGAAGAATGAATGAAGGAGGAGGTGAATGAATGAATGGATGGATGACCAGTATGGCACAGAAGAGCTGAAAGCTTTTCACAGACCTGCTGAAAGCCCCTTCCCAACCTGACCATCCTGGTGTCCCCCATCCTGGCGGCCCCGACCAGGTCCAGGCCATTGTGGCGGCGACGGTGGTGGCCAGGGGGCTGCCAGTGTCCCGCATGGGGCCCCAAGAGGGTCTTTGTCTGTGCCCAGCCACCACCCCCCCTCCCCACCCCAGCCCCATTATAAAAGGGAAAAGCGCTTCCAAAAAAGTTGAACCTGTCACAGTGATGGATAACCTAAATGGACTCTCCCTGCTCGCGAACAGATGTCGACGCTGAACCCTGTCAGAAATAATTAAACACCTCTCACATGGAAAAGCAGCAGGCAGGGGCGCAGCGGCCTGCTCCTTGCGTTGGGTCAACGCGGAGCAAGCTGGCTCCCTGCACCTCGAGGGGGCTGCCCAGACCCTCCCCGGCCCGGCACCTCTCGGGGCGCTCAGCCGTGTTCAGGGCCCACCTGGGGCCGCAGCCGCGGGACCAGCCGCAGGGCTGCCTGGAATTCCAGCGCCCATTCTGGTCTGTACCACCAGCCACTGCCCCGGATGCATGGGGCCCAGAGAGAGGGTCACGTATGTATGCCCTGCTACCAGTCAGCTAAGAGGCTCTCTGGGCCTCAGTTTCCTCATCTGAAAGTGAGGGTGGCACTGTTCTTAAGGGTCTCCTTCAACCGAAGGCTCAAGATCCCAGGGTCACGGCTCAAGGTGGTGGACCCCAAACCCAGAGTGAACCGTCAGGGGAAACGGCTCAGACCCTTCCTCAGGCTCCCATTTGGGGAACGGGATGTGAACGCACTGCCTCCCATCCCTGAGTGGAGGGATCGCTGGGCTTGCAGCCGGCACCCTCTGTGCCCAGCGGCAGCGGGGCTCGTGCCCTTCACAAATGTGCCGGGGTCTGCAGGGAGGGAGGAGGGAACCCACATTCTCTGTGTGCGCACATGACTCAGGGGCAGCGGACCTGGGTCACACCTCTCCCTACCTGTCACATGGCTTTACCGGTCATGTCCCCATTCCGTCTTCTGAAAATGGGGCTAGCAGAAGGATTCGATGAGAACACACGTATACATTCAGCAGGGCACCTGGACTCTATTCAGGTGCCAACACATGGCATCTGCCCTGGGGATGGGCCTGGTGATCATTCATTCATTCCCTCATTCATACACAAATCTCGTTCAGCATCTTTGTGCCAAGCCCTGCTCCCAGTGCCGACGTGATACTGCTGTAGGGTCACTGGTGAGCAGCAAGGGTGAAGTGGGTAGATGGACAGAGGGCTGGACAGCTAGACGGGGAAGTTTGGAGCAGCCCCACCCCCTGGTGTCCAGAAGCCTGAAATGGTTAGTTGGCAGCCGGAGCTGGGGGCCGGGGGCAAGCTGCATAACCAAAGCCCCATCAACATGATCCTGATACAGGCTGGCCCACCCGGCTCACCTGCTTTTTGCAGAACCCTGCTTGGGTTTTCCAGGCAGGGGCCAGAATCCAGGCTTGCCTGTTGGGAGGTGGGATTTTTTTTTTTTTTTTAAGATTTTATTTATTTATTTGACAGAGAGAGACACAGCGAGAGAGGAAACACAAGCAAGGGGAGTGGCAGAGGGAGGAGGAGAAGCAGGCTTCCCACGGAGCAGGGAGCCCGGTGCAGGGCTCGATCCCAGGACCCTGGGATCATGACCTGAGCTAAAGGCAGACGCTTAACCATCTGAGCCACCCAGGCACCCCTGGGAGGTGGGATTACTAATAGTGCCCACCTTCTGCTCTCAGAAGTGACCCAGTCTGAACTGTGCATCCTATGGCTGCCTGATATTAAGCCAAGAAAAACAGACGATTTATCCTTCTTTACAAAGATTGCCAGTGATACCAGCCCAAAGACAAATATCTGGGGGGAGTAGGTCCCACGTATTTATGGTGGCACCCCCACGATGGTGTAAGCCCGGATGTGCCAGTGAAGAGGCGTCTTCAGTATGAGCTGAGAGATCCTGTACTGACATTGCACAGACAATATATGATCCTGTGAAATAGTATACAGCCACTGAAAATAATGACCGTAGTCTACTTACTGCCACGTTCCTGACCCATTGCCGGGGAATGAACCCGTGCTACGTGGTGCTGTTGGGACAGAGGCGCCCACACATCTGCACAGGGGCCTGTGCTCAGGGACAGACATCCAGAGGGAGGGGTCCTCGGGCAGCAGCAGCGGTGACCCCTGGAGTGGTGTGAGGCTGAGTTTTACTTTCTCTGATGCTCTTCCCTGCATTGTTTGAATTTTTACAGTGAGGATATGACTTTTACAAAACCAGTAAGGCTATTTTTTTTAAATATGTTTGAAGGGTAGGGACGCCGCATCCTTCTTCGGGCACTTGTCCCAGGGCTCAAGCCCCCTTCAGCCCAGTCCCTCCTGAACTCACAGGCCCTCCAGTGCTGCTGGCCATGCTTGGTTTCTCACGTTGGGTTTCCATCAGGTGCGGAGATCAGAGGCCTGCGCTCTCCCAGCAGTGAAGGCGGCCGGCTCCCTGAGTCTGGCTCTCTATGGCCAAGTCCGTGTTATAATTGGAGATCCCAAACCCATTTCAGAGAGAGGTCTGCCCAAGCGTCTCAAGGTCACTCCTCACGCCGAACACTGCGCCTCTCCCCCGACAGACCTGTCTTCCCCAGTGCCAATACCCACTGACATTACATAGTCATTCGGTCACTAAAGTATGAACAAATTGACTATATTTTCATTTGGCTTTTGGTTTCAGCCCCACTGCTTTAGAATAATGGCCCAAGCTATTAAGCTAACAGTTTGATTTACAAGCTCTTGTGCTCTGAATGCTGGGATCAGGCTCCTCTCTTTGTGGAAGACTAACCCTGCCTCAGGTCTCCTGGGCCCCTGACTCCCTAATAGAACCGGAGACGGCAGGGAAAAAAAATCAGTAGTCAGCCAAGCAGTGACACCCAGAGATGCAGCTGATTAGTGAAAGCTGCTGAATCTAAGAAAAGGATTTT